CAACAATAAGTTTTTATCTTCAGTTTTACACTAGTATATAGTGACCAACAATATGTTTTTATCTTCAGTTTTACACTAGTATATAGTAACCAACAATATGTTTTTATCTTCAGTTTTACACTAGTATATAATAACTAACAATATGTTTTTATCTTCAGTTTTACACTAGTATATAGTAACCAACAATAAGTTTTTATCTTCAGTTTTACACTACTATAACGATCAAAATAAGTTTTTATCTTCAGTTTTACACTAGTATATAGTAACCAACAATATGTTTTTATCTTCAGTTTTACACTAGTATATAATAACTAACAATAAGTTTTTATCTTCAGTTTTACACTAGTATATAGTGACCAACAATAAGTCTTTTATCTTCAGTTTTACACTAGTATATTGTAACTAACAATAAATTTTATGTTCAGTTTTACACTAGTATAACGACCAAAATAAGTTTTTTATCTTCAGTTTTACACTAGTATATAGTGACCAACAATAAGTCTTTTATCTTCAGTTTTACACTAGTATATAGTGATCAACAATAAGTCTTCTATCTTCAGGTTTACACTAGTATATAGTGACCAACAATAAGTTTTATCTTCAGATTTACACTAGTACATAGTGACCAATAATAAGTCTTTTATCTTCAGATTTACACTAGTATATTGACCAACAACAAGTTTTTTATCTTCAGTTTTACTCTAGTATATAGTGATCAACAATAAGTTTTTATCTTCAGTTTTGCACTAGTATATTGTAACTAACAATAAATTTTTGCATTCATTTTTACACAAGTATAGTAACCAACAATAAGTTTTATGTTCAGTTTAAACTAGTATATAGTGAACAACAATAAGTTTTTATCTTCAGTTTACACTAGTATAGGGGCCAAAACCGAGTTGTCTCATCATCGATATTATATTAGTACTGTTTATTTTTGTGTGATTTAAAAAGCTTGTATTAAAATAAGTATCAGTTACAGTGTGTTGTTCCTCTAGTATTTATATCAGTATCAGTATATGTTGCATGGAATTCTTAAATATCTTGTTGGTTTTTGTTTTTATATAAACATTAAACAGATAAAATCCATCTTTTTAATTTAAAAACTTGGGAATTACTTTACATGATTATAATTCAAGAACTTGGGGATCGCTTTACATGATTATAGTTCAAGAACATGGTGATCGCTTTACATGATTATAATTCAAGAACTTGGGGATCACTTTACATGATTATAGTTCAAGAACATGGTGATCGCTTTACATGATTATAATTCAAGAACTTGGGGATCACTTTACATGATTATAATTCAAGAACTTGGGGATCGCTTTACATGATTATAATTCAAGAACTTGGGGATCGCTTTACATGATTATAATTCAAGAACTTGGGGATCGCTTTACATGATTATTATTCAAGAACTTGGGGATCACTTTACATGATTATAATTCAAGACAAGCGGTTAATTGTGATGAATATAGAATTACTGTGAATCCAACATTTTGTGAGAAACGTTATATATTCGTGAGTCTATTAAAGAAAAAACTATTATAAACAATGACAATAGATCAGTCGTACATCGTTTACCA